CGTGCTCCGGGAGGGCGTGCTGGAGAAGCGCAGCGGCGGGCTGCTGCAGCAGTGGAAGCGCAAGCGCTGCGTGCTCACCGAGCGCGGGCTGCAGCTCTTCGAGGCCAAGGGCGCCGGCGGCCGGCCCAAGGAGCTCAGCTTCGCCCGCATCAAAGCCGTGGAGTGCGTGGAGAGCACCGGGCGCCACACCTACTTCACGCTGGTGACCGAGGGCGGCGGCGAGATCGACTTCCGCTGCCCGCCCGAGGACCCCGGCTGGAACGCGCAGATCACCCTGGGCCTGGTCAAGTTCAAGAACCAGCAGGCCATCCAGACCGTGCGCGCCCGGCAGAGCCTCGGGACCGGGACCCTCGTGTCCTAGACCGCAGGCTAACGTCTTCGCTTCCCGCGGCCATGGACGCGGTGTCCTGGCTCACGTGTCAGGTGAGTTCTTGGGGTCTGAGCCTTCCTTTCCTCTTGCCCTCCCGTCTCCTCTCTCCTCTTTCCCCTACGGAGGAAATGCCCGCCCGGCCCCCCCGCACCGCCCCCCCACCCCCAGCATATGCCCTCTCAAAGCTGGCCGTCCGAGGGCCGATGGGGACGGAAAGCCCAGGAGTCGACCCTGGGTGCCTGGGCCTGGGACCGAGAGCCGGCCTTCCCCCTGGGGCGCCGGGCAAGGGTCCTGAATGTGCCCGCAGTGCCTGAGAGGAGGGTGGGCAGGATGCGCACCCCCCACCCCCAGGTTGGTTCTGCCCTGACTCAGGTGGAAGAGGCTAGCAGAACAGACCTTCAGGTGGCTGGGCCTCCACCCCCACCAAGGCAGGGCTCCTGGGCTCTGGCTTTCAGGGAGCTGGGGAGGGCGGAGGGGGGGATGAGCTTGCCCCCCACCCCTTTCTGCTACGATGACGCTCGTCCTGGAGCTTGACCGTGGGTTTGAGGCAGGAAGACAGCCTCCCTCAGTGGCAGGGTTCTCAGGGTTGGGGCCAGAACCAAGGAGTCGTAGCTCCCAAGGTGGGACCTTGGTGGGAGCTGGGCTGGGCATGGGAGCTCCACTACCTGTTCTCAGTGGTGGGTTTTGGGTCCTAGGGCTGAGCCAGGAGATTTGTGGGGTGTGCAGGCCAGGCCATTGATGCCAAGGAGGGTGGGCCTGTCCACCTGCCCCAGAGTGCCCGCCATGCTGGCTGGGCGGAGAAGGGAAGCTGGAGGAGGGGGCGGGGGCGGGTTTGTGGTCAGCAAGGCTCAGGGGAGGGACCAGGAATAGAACCTAGAAACTGTGGCTCCTGGCCCTGTGCCATCTTCCCCAGATGCCGCCCCCTCCCGGGGGAACGGGGCGCAGGTTGAGGAAGGATCTAGGCGGCGTTTCTCCCCTGGAAACCTGTATCCCCCTCGCCCCACTACCACCACCCTCCTGACTCTCCCTGTCCTGCAGCTTCTCACCTCGCCAGGTAGGGTCCATCGAGCCTGGTGGTCGGTGCTGCACAGCCCCGGCCCTCCTGTTAACTGCCTCTCGTGGGGCAGTGCGGGGTCACTGAGAGGCCAGGCAGGAGGCAGACCTTCTGTCCTTAGAGCTGATCCTCTTTGATCTCCCAGGCCTCAGAGGCCGGGAGGAACAGCTTCCTGCAGTGACGACAGGGTGTTGGACAAATGCTGTTCTCTCCTGAAATGTTGGAGCAGGTTGGGAAGCTCTGGTACAAACAGCTCCTGTGGATACTCGCCGCCGCAGTGTGTGCCCTACCCTGACTGCTGTTCTTTCTTGCCAGCTTCCATGCCCCCTTTGGCTCGCGGGGCGTGACTGTGCTCCGTTTGGTGAGGCAGAGGCCGTGGACGCGTGGAGGAGGCGTTGGAGCGTATTAGGGGCGGCCGGGGCGGGGAGCAGGTCAAAGGCCCCGAGGGGCTGAGGATGAAGATGCAGCCCCCGGGTACTCAGACTCTCGCTCAGGACCTTCCGGCCACCGGCCTGGCCTCCGAGATCGTGATGGAGAGCTGCCATCCAAGCTCCCTCCCGCCACAGCCCTGCGTCTCTTCTGCAGACTGCTAACCGGCCCCCCCGGCTTGGTGCCACGCCTGGAGAAAGGCAGTCCCCTGGGGGCACCGAGCCAGCGCCCCAGGACTCGGGAGGCCAGGCTGGCGCTCAGAAGAGGAACCACCTGGGCTCGCCTCCGGATTTACTTTGGCGGGGGTAGCTGATGGGTCTGAGGCCCACACGTGGGGGTCATCTGCTGCTTGGGTCCTTCTGGGACCCCCACCCATCCAGGCCTCTCTTTGCACAGTTCTCCCCCCCCCTCCTGCCCCTCTTTCCCCACTGCGGTACTAGGCCTGGAGGTGGTGGGGTGGCGGGGGGGGTCAGCCATTACCATTTCACACCCGTCCACAAATGCAGATGCCCTGCAAAGGGCAGTGACCACACTGTTCGCTTGCTGAGTGGAATTCTTTGCCCGCCGCTAAGACCTGGTGCTTGGAGCATCTGTCCTCACCCCACCTTCCCAGTCCACACCCCATCCTGCAGTCTCCAGCCTGGGGAGGGAGAGGCCCTGCACCCAGGGGACATGGACTCAGAGGTCCTAGGGGAGGGGCCATGAGGCCTGCACTGGCCCACTCGGTCTCGAGAGACGCCCCTCTGCCTGCGCTCCTGGGGGCGCGGCTCTGTCATTTATGCACTTGGGGCTTGTACATTAACACCGTTAAGTCTTCTCTACGGGATGGTTGAAAAGGAATAATTTCAGCAGTGGGGAAACCGAGGTACAGAGACACAGCTGTCCTGAGTTACACAGAAACTGCTGATCGGGTAACCCACGTCCGCATCCCCTGCTGCCAAGCGGTGGCTACTTGGCAGGAGCAGGGAGGCTGAATGTCCCCTGCAACAAGTCGGGGTCCCTCCGTGCTTCCAACCTGTTGGTTCCGCATCAGATTCCTCCTCCTGTCCGATCACGGTCTCTGTCCTTTGTCCCCGTCCCTCAGGGTCCTCTGCAGCTTCTGGCTTATCTGATATGTGAAATACATCTTAAAATCGAATAAGAACTTATGAGTTACCAAGGAATTGTTACAGATATCTCATTTATGATCTCCCTAGGCTGCATACCCAGCCCATGATGGCAAATAAGCATCACCGTCCGTGCCAGCTAGTGTGCTGTGATCAACTGGTGATGTCTGCCGTGAGCTTTGGAAGAAAGGTGGGGAGGTTGGCAGCTCTTGTGTATATGCGTGGGGAGAGCATGGTGTCTGCCACTGTTTCCTTGATTCAAGCTACATGAGAGGCTTAGCTTCTCCATCCTGCTCTAAAACAGCAGCCTCTAAACTAGAATCCTAAATAAATAAATAAATAAATAAAAATAAAATAGAGTCCTTGCTCTTCCATCGAGCCCAAAGGTGACTTTGGTGATGGTGATGGTGAGGATTCAGGGAGGCGTCCAGACACTCAGACACGGGAGCGTGTTTATGCGCAGGTGGAATCGGGGTGCAGGACACACTCATCCAGCAGACATGCCAACGCCTCTTGCAGCCAGGTGCTGCGCTGGGCGCTGGGGCGGAGATGAAGAAACACCTGATCTGAGCCCAGAGCCCAGGGCGAGGAAATGCCTGCTGTGCCGGTAGAGGGGTGTTAGCGGCACAGGCGGTGTCCTTCTGCGCGGCACTGTCCTGTCCTCAGCGGAGCCTGCAGGGGTGGTTCCGGAGCTTGGCAGCTCAGGACAGCAGGGGGCACGGCCAGTGTGGGATGTCTGCGGGGGCACACACAGTGCAGGGGGAGAGCGGGCTCCCAACTCCCGGCCCTCCCTGCTTTTTGGGAACAGCCAGCCCGTTGGTTCCAAGTATGCTTTGGTTCCTATCCAAACCCAGCTTCAGCTGCTCCCCTTGCTAGGAGGTCCCAGCCCCTGTGAAGGGGGTGCTGCTGTAGGACCCCCAGCACAGACCCTCGAACAGACTCTCAGCAGACACTAGTGCCGGTGGCGGGTGTTGGGATGGGGATAATCGCTTGAGCCCCGTAGCTGCCTGGAGGCGCCAAGAACTCGCAGCATGGGGATCGGGGCTTGCGCAGTGAGTTTCGTTTTTTAAAAGATATGTGGCCTCTCTGGGGTGTCTCTCTGCTTCCTGGGATCAGGGGTGTCCTCGCCACTCTGGAAGCTGAGTTTGGGACAAGGACCACGCGCCCTCACCCCAGGAGTGCTCGGCTGGACCACAGAGCAAGGTCGAGGTCTCCTGGGGGCACAGAGGCCCCGACAGTGCCAGTGGACATGCACGAGATGGAAAAACTTCGCTCAGTTGGGGCCCCGTCGTGAGGCCAGGGCGGGGCAGTCGCCACCATCTTTCCATTTGCCTCGGCAGCCACGGCTCACCCCTGCCCGATCTCTGAGTCATCAATGGGAAAATGAGACGGGGCAAGTCCCAGCCTGGCGGCAGCTGGGAATCCACTGAGGCCGGGTGGGGAGGCGGGGGAGAAGGGCCTGGCTGGCTCTAGTCAGGTGAGCTGGGCTGGGAGCTGAGGCTTTGGCAAGAGCCAGCCTGTTGCAGGGAATGGGGACGAGTGCAAAGAGCTGCCGGAAGCAGAGGGTCTACAGCAGGAGGGAGCGGGCATCGCACCCGTGACCCTGGAGTCTGGCCTTTCCCGGAAGCTGGGGTGTAGAGGCACCTTGGTGGCCGGGCGCAGGGACCCCGGAAAGACGCTGTGATTCGCTGTGCGCAGAGCTGCCAGGAGGCTGTACGTGAGCCCGGGCTGACCTCCTCCCAGCCACCTGAGTGTCCCGCCCAGGACGCAGTTCATCCTTCCGATTAAAACCTCCCGAGGTTTCCCCGATGCACAGGGAGGAAAGTCCCAGCTCCCAGGACGTGTGCCCTCCGAGGTCAGGGCTCCTTCCAGTGTCCGTCCCCACAGCCCCCAGCCGGCGCCCCTGCATGGGAAGCGCCAGGTCCCAGGACTGGCTGGGGGCCTTTGCTCACCCCACACCCCCCGCCATGGGGAGCCTCCCCGCTCAGTCCAGGCCGAGGAACTGCTCTCTGCTCCTCAGCCACGGCTCTCCCGTCACCACACTGCCTGGAGACAGTCGGTCACTCCTGTCACTTGTATGTTCCTGCTGCCTCCGAGTTCCTGGGACAAGGCAGGCGATTCATCATCACGATGGCAAACGGTAACCGAGCTTGCTCCGTGGGCACTGACCCATGATCAGCACAAGGGAGTCATGGAACGTCCAGCCGCTGAGGTTGTGGATTAGGTTTTACATTCAGAAACTGAGGCCCAGAGAGGTTATGTGACTTGTTAGGAGTCACACAGCGGCTAACTGGCGGAGGAGCCAGGATTCAACTGGGCAGCGGGCCTCTAGATGTGTTCTCTGAATCCACACCAGACGAGTACTTCTCACAGGATGAGTGGGCGAGTGACAGAGTGAGATT